ACCAATTACTGTACAATATAAATATTGTCTTGCACAGGAGAGAAACAAATAAGGAAATACATCCATTGCTGAGGGAAGATAAATGTCCAATGCATTCAGTAGAAAATAATACCAGCATGAAAGCAGTTGCATCTAGAAAGGGGCCATGGGGAGAGAGGATGAAAGCTGTAACAAGAGGCGTATGGTTTTTCAAGGCTTGATTTCATCCAAACTTCTCCTTCTTAAGACAACAAATGCAAGATAAAAAAAGAAAAACACCTGACAAGAAAAACAAACTCAAATTCAAATCACAACTCTTTTCGTTTTTTAATTTGCAGGCCTGTCTTTCTCCAAAAATATAATTATTCTTGTCCTGTGGTATAACCTTTGCAATTACCAAATGCATGTACTAAAAAAATCTGTATCTTTTTAAAATAATTTGCTTTCAGTATTCCTTTTCTAACTTTCCATTCAAATGTTAATTTATCATTGATAGCCACATTTCTTTATACCAATCCTCCATATTAAACTGATTGTTAGTCTTCCAATTCCTTGCAAATATCAGTTGCCATAATAATAATTAATTCTTTTTCCCTGTTCTAATTTGATATTTCCAAACAAATTTAACAAAGCTATCATTGTACATCTTTGCACATTGTTACCCATAGTTTCTTTTATTTCCTTAAAAATCATTTACCCTTCTGCCTCATTTTGATTTCACTCAAACTTTTAACCATCTTCTCTTAATAATGCAGTGAATCTCGAGCTTGACATTTTTTTTTCTAACTCTGTGAAAGTAGTTTGTACCACCATCCACAAACAAAGCATTTCATGCAGTGAAGGAACAGCTCAGTGCTCGAAAAGACTTACTGTCTAGAAATCAAAGCAGAGGCAAGGCTTTGATAAATAGGAACAATATGCAATGATTTTGGAACATGCTATAGTGAAAAGGAATGTCATTATGTAGCTGGTGCTCTAAGTGTGCATCCTATTTATAGCTGTTATTGGTCTAATTCTGTTGCAGGGCTGGCAGCTCCCTGGGCAGGGTGCCTGCACCTAAAACAGCTGAAGGACAATTGAAAATGTAGGTGGTGGCAATGAGCAAGGATGGAGGGAGGAGAATCAGTTGAACAGCTACTGCCTATAATACAGGGGTGGAGAAACTCTCCAGAGTTCAAATTCACCAGCATCTGAAGAGCCAAAGGGGGGTACAAACACATCTGTTGCATTTACTTGGTGTAAATCAGAGGTCCCCAATCCCTGGTTCGTGGCCTGAGCCAGACCGGTCCACGGAGACAGGCCACCCACCCCCACACGTACTTCCCCCCGCACAGCTGATTTGTGCATGTGTGCACACTCCAGCGCCGCCATATGTGCATGAGTGAGCAAGCACCCGCACAAGGCCGCGCCACTGTTTGCACATACACACAAACGAGCAAGCTGTGCTGTCGTATGCGCGTGCGCTCATTCACACATGTGCATAAGCGTGGGGATGCCCCGCCTTCTCCAGCCAGTCTGCGGGATGAAAAAGGTTGGGGACCCCTGGTTGTAAATGCATCTGTTGACCAGAGCAGGAAGAAAGTTGGAAGAAAAATGAATTATTCTATATTGCCGGCAGCAATTAATGGCCAAATTGTTTAGCATAGTAAATCACACTAGGATAGGACCACTAAATCCATGGGAGTTTGGTAAGGCAACTCCTCAGTAAATTCCGTTGACTCAAATGGGCCTGCTTTAATTCCCACTTCCAGCGCCAAAGTAAGTCACAACTAGAGTGGACCCTCTTGAATCAATGGAATATATGTAGGAGTTGGCTTACCAAATTCCCATTGATTCAGTGGGCCTACTCAAGTGTGATTTACTGTGCTAAGCAACAGAATTTTGGCCATTGTTTATATAGTCTCATGCCTGTGCAGTGTTTGTATAACTCTTTCCGATGGGAAAGAGAGGACCTGCCCCAAGCAGGTTGTGGTTTGAATTTACACAGAGTGAAAAGGAGTTAGTATAAAGAACATTAATGTGTAGTGACTGAACTGTATTCATTTCACAATGAGATTCATTTCACAATGAGAGTGGAAAGAAGGGATTAAACAATAGGCTTTGAATGAAAAGGTGGTTTTTAAGGAAAGATGAAAAGTGTAACGTAGGTATTACAGTTATGGACCGTCTTCTTAATTAGTCATTCCTGGAGACATTATAGTCTAGCAAGAGAGAAGCCCTTGTTCATATTGCAGCAGGAAAAAGTTAGCCAGTGACTCAGCAACTGTAGTACAAAGCAATTTTTTTTCCAGTTTCTTTAAAATGTTTATAGCCCATCTTTCTCCCAAAAAAGACAGTTGCTTTTTGTCCTGCTCTGCTACCAATTTCTTGTTAGGAAACTATTGGTTTTGTTGTTGTTGTTGTTGTTGTTTTTTAGGAGCAGCAACAACAAATTAGCATTTGACACTTCCATTCAGAGATATTAGTTTCTTGGCCAGGAAATTTTAGGAGCAGCAGCAACAAATTAGCATTTGACACTTCCGTTCAGAGATATTAGTTTCTTGGCCAGGAAATTCTAGGTAGGCTTCACATCAAGACACATAGCCTCTTGAGCAGTTGTTAAACATCACGTTGTGACAGAATTCTTCTCTGATCATGTTGGTGAGCCTGTCCTTTTAGCATCTGTTATATTTTGCCATTAATACAGATAGCAGCAGCAACAAATTAGCATTTGACACTTCCGTTCAGAGATATTAGTTTCTTGGCCAGGAAATTCTAGGTAGGCTTCACATCAAGACACATAGCCTCTTGAGCAGTTGTTAAACATCACGTTGTGACAGAATTCTTCTCTGATCATGTTGGTGAGCCTGTCCTTTTAGCATCTGTTATATTTTGCCATTAATACAGATAGGAGCAGAGAGACTAAAGTTAGAATCAGGGTGGATTTGGTTTAAATCATGATTTAAATCTTAAAATGGGATTTTTAAAAATACAAATTAAAAAATAATAATTTAAATTGCGATTTAAATCAATTAGATGTTTTTTTAAAAAATCATTTTTATCCACCCTGGTTATAATGAATGTAGATGTTGGTTTGTTCAGACCCCTGATTACATTTCTTACTGCTTCAGGAACATACAGAGTATCAGCTCTGAAGCATCACTGGCAAAACAGCAGTGATGTGAGGATCAGAGAAGAGGACAGCATGATTGAGGAAAAAGTTTCTGTCAGTGAGAGATACATTGTGTGTATCTTTTGCACCATTGGTACCCCTTTCCCCCCAAAATAAGACCTAACCTGAAAATAAGCCCTGGTATGATTTTTCGGGATGCTCATAATATACATCCTACCCCAAAAATAAGTCCTAGTTAAGTGAAACCTCACCCTCCACCATGGTGCAGCAACCAGAAGAAGATGACATGGCTCTATTTGAATAAATATAGACTGTTGTACATAAAAAAAAACAATCCCCCTATAAATAAGCCCTACTGGTTTTATGAGCAAAAATCAATTTAAGACCCTGTCTTATTTTTGAGAAAACAGTACAAGCAGAATAGTTTGTTGCTGAAATTTCTGGACTAGCATTTATGTGGCACATATATTCTCAATAATCCTGTCAAGAATATTGTGCTTCTACAAAATGCAACAAAAAACAAAATGCTAAGTACACACCAGTCAATTTCGATTTGGGCCCCTTCAGTAAACTGTTTTGTTGTTCTGGATATCTTGGGTGTTCACACCAAGCATCCTATCCTCTCCCCCACCCCAGTTCTTTGGCTTTTTTTCTGTACACCACAAAAGGAATCACAAGGCAATAAGGACAAATAAATGTTTGAGTTGACTAAAGACTGGTGAGATAAACATGCAGTAGCTCATCTCCTGTTTTATTTTTCAAGTGAGCACACATGAGCTGCACTTTTTACTGCACATGATTTGTGCTCATCTAGTCCTGTACTTTTGATAGAGGTACCTTTAGTCCTGTTTAAGCTGTTTTCAATAACCTTGGCAAGGCATCTGTTTACGTAGCTTCATCTGGCTGTTTGTGTGGCTGTCAGAAGGCAGAGAAGTTTCAGACATGCTACTGATCCCACAGTGAATGAAATGGAACTGAGGCAAGAAGGGTGGGAGCAGCCTGGGTATGCGTTAAGGTACGCGGGCTGGATTTCTGTGGAGACTCTTAACTCTAGAAGTTCCTGAACAGTTCCGCACAAGTGAAGATTAATCGATGTGTGAGTTCATTGAATCACAGAATTTTAGAACTGGAAGGAACCCCTGGAGTCATGGAGTTCAACCACCTGCTGAAGCCAGAAAGCCATAGCTAAAGTTTTCTGACAGTTGCCAGCTAACCTCTGTTTAACATCCTTCAATGAAGGAGAATCCACCATCCTCTGAAGTGGTCCACTGTTAAACAGCTCCTGTCAAGACGTTTTTCCTAATGTCAAGGGGAAATCTTTCTTGTAATTCAAATCCATTTCTTTGGATTCTGCCCTCTGGAACTACAGTACAGAAAACAAGTTTGCTCCATTTGCTACGTAACAGTCCTTCAGATGCTGTCCCCATTGTCCTTTCGCAAGGAGGAGAAGACCTTTCTCTTCAGGCAGGTTTTTCCTTGGTGTCAGATTGTCTGGGAATGGTTTTAAAATGAGATGGTTGGAATTTTGTTGCTTCTAAATCTATTTTAGTAATGCTTTGCCTATCATTCTTAATAAAATGTCATTAATTTGTTTAATATTTGAATAATACACTGTTTTTAGCTTTCATATTGTGTTTTAATTTTGTAAGCTGTCCTGGGTCCTTAGGCAAGGTAACGATAAATAAATAAATAAATAAATAAATAAATAAATAAATAATGGATGATGGGTATGATGTCCCATCTCAATCTCTACCTCCTTCAAC